TGTGTGTGCATGCGTGCCCAAGATCCTGAGAGGAGAATGGAGGAGAAGGGATTGCGACGTGGCCATCCCCCCTGGGAGGGGTGATTTCTCGCTTTCTATCTCTTTGTCTCTCTCTCTGTCTGGTGAGCGTGTGTGCCCTATAGCAAAAACCTCTAAAACAAAACAAAACAAAAACCAAAAAGAGTTGAAGTGTAATGTACCTGTAGTCAGTCTCACAAACATCAGTGTACAATTTGATGAGCTTTTACATATACACACCAGGAAAACCCAGATCATGAGAGAGCGTTTACACCACTCAAGAGACTGTCTCATCCCCTTCATAGGTCAAAACCTCCCACCAGCACATGCAGCCCCTAATGTGGCACCTGCCACTTGCTTGGGAACTGTATGCAGAGTACCAGAAATTACTCTGTTGTGTCTGGCATCTTCGGTTCATGAGATATCTCCCAGGTCACCCGTCTTGTACATGTATGTGTTGGTATCAGTAGGTTCCCCCTCCCAGTTTTCTACCATGTGAATATGTCATAACTTACTTTTTTATTCTCCTGCTGCTGTTTCTAGTTTTTGGAACACACGTTTTTGTGGAGCTGTGCACTCGTCTTTTGGGTATATATCCATAAGTGGCATTGCTTGGTCTTAGTGCTTTGCTGGTAAGTCACGTGTCATTTAAGGAGTCACCCCCACACATTTTTCAAAAGTGTTTGAACAAATTCCATTCACACCAGAAAGTAGGAATGCCCTGGCTGTCCTGCCTTCTTTGCCTACATGTATTGTCAGGTTTTTTGTTTTTTGGACTTTTTTTTTTAAGCTATTCTTGTGGGTACAGTTTTTAGAAATTAAAATGATAAATTGCACACTTCTCTATCTTTGGCCCAATGTCCCTTTTGATAAAGATCCCTTGTTTCTCCAAAAGATTATCTGAAATTTTAAAGTAAAAATAACAATGGTGGGGGAACCACCATCTTCCAGTAATTCACCAAAATGATGAATGCAGCGGGAAAAAGGAGAGGCCCCCGATACATGGTCTCCAGGCCTTTTAGAAAACATGGAGGGAACCAGCAATTAGCGTAGTGGCTATGTCGCTGGACTCCCACGTAGTCGACCGTGGTTTGTGTCCCGGACCCGGTGGCTTAAAACTCACGCCGGGCGCGTGTGCGTGCGTGCCCAAGATCCCGAGAGGAGAATGGAGGAGAAGGGATTGCGGCGTGACCATCCCCCCTGGGGGGTGATTTCTCGCTTTCTGTCTCTATGTCTCTCTCTGTCTGTCTGGCGAGCGCACGCGCCCTACAGTGAAAATCTCTCAAAAAAAACCAAAAAACAAAACATGGAGTGGTTCCTCTGGCAATACACATGCAAATCTACAAGACAGTTAATAGTGTAGACATCAGGGGAATGGGTACTGTTCAAAAAGGAATGTCCGCAAATGGTACCATGGCAACACTGGAAGAGTCTACAGTGTTACCCAGCATGCTGTTGGCATTGTGGTAAACACATGGGTTAAGAGCGAGAGTCTTGCCAAGAGAATTAACGTGCATATTGAGCATACGAAGCATTCTAAGAGCAGAGACACTTCCTAAAACGTGTGAAGGAAAATGAGCAGAAAAAGAAGGAAGCCAAAGAGAAAGGGACCTGGGTTCAACTAAACGCCAGCCTGCTCCACCCAGAGATGCACACTGTGTGAGAACCCGTGGAAAGGAGCCTGAGCTACTGGAACCTAGTCCCTGTGAATTCATGGCATGATGGGTGTTAAAAATAAGCTAATTTATGGTCTATTTACAATGAAAAATAACAATGGTGGGCCAGACAGATGGCATGGAGGTTAAAGCAACCAAATCCTACATGGCTGATTGCTTGGTTCGTGTCCCATATCTGGTGGTTTGGAAAGCAGGCTGGCAGGGGAAGTGAAGGCCCCTGATCCCACATAGCCAGCTGTGCAGTTTGAGTACTGGACCTGGCAGCTTGAAGGTCATGCCACATTTGTGTGTGTGCCCAGGACAGAGACTGGACGGTGCAAGTGTAGAGATTGCATTGTCGCCCTCTCCTCGGGGGGTGCTTTCTCACTTTTTCTCTCTGTCTCTTTCTCTCTCTGGTAAGTGCACATGCACTATAGTGAATTAAAAAAAAGACCAATGATCATTTTTTTTTTCTTTTTTTAATGGTAGGGGGAACAGGAAGAGAAAATACAGAGGAAAGAGAAATAAACACATGTTTTTGACAGGTTGGCTTCATGTCATGATCCCTCCCGTGCTGGTCCCAGGAGTCAGGGCCACAGGTGTGTGCCACCACTCCCAGCCTGTGTAGGGTTGGGCTGGAAACCAAACCCAGGCCTCTTGTATGGCCTCAGCCGCTGAGTAGCAGTGCCTGCTTGAACCACTGCAGCTGGGCCAGTCGTGGTCGTTTCTCGGAACGTGTCCTCCGTTACATGCCCTCCCACGCTATGATGTGCACAGTCCTCCACTCGACTCCCACACGGCCCGCTGCGTGATCCAAGGCCGGAACCCAACTTGAGAATCACACTGGGCATGCGTGTGTGCGTGTCCAAAATCTCGAGGAGACTGGAGGACAAGGGATTGCCGCATGGCCATCTCCCCTGAGGGGTGATTTCTCACTTTCCCTCTGTCTCTCTCTGGCAAGTACACATGCTCTATGGCAAAAACTAAAATATATATATATATAAATATATATATAAAGCACAGGTCAGGAGTCACTATTCCATTGAATAATAACTGCTAGGATGATGAAGACACGTCTCT